GTGTGAGCGAGTCTGGGTGCGAAACATCTTCTCGGCGTGCGTTTGTATCTGAGCGCGGCAGAACACGAGGAGTCTTAGGTTGAATGAGTCTGCATATGAGTGATACCGAACATGAGAAACCTGAGCATCAGGACTCTAAAGGCGAGTGAATATGAGTAAGAGTGAGTCTGAATATGAATGAATATACATGTGAGTGAGTCAGAGAATGATGACCTGAAGGTGGGAGGTGTGTTCTCGTTCTCCGCGCGGTCAAAGTAATAACAAGAACCCCATCCTTAGGATTCGAGGAAACACACACAAATCCCAGGATTCCCATTTTGTTCCGATATGTTCTGGGTTGTCGTCTTCCCCCCCCCCCCGCTTCCCACATTCTCCCGCACTCTCCTGGGGGCCGACGAGGAATCGTGTCTGTGTGTTTTTGCCTCCTCCTGACTCCTGACTGGCTTTCGCCCGCGAGCTTCTCTCAGGGGGACGTAAGACCTGGGTACAGGGGACTCGGAAATCCCCGACGAGGTCGTCAAAAAAATGACGAGGCCGAGCCTGCATTTTGACGAGGCCTCCCGCTGCAGACATCCCACGAAACTCCTCCTCGTCAAAATCCGAGGCGCAGTCGTCAAAAAACGATGGCGAACCCGAGTCCTGGCAAACCCGGGTCTTGCGCTCCCCCGATTCTCTGAGGGGCCAAGAAGCTCCTGCACTCGCAGGGAGGCTCCGCCACGGAGGGCGGCGGGCGGGCCCCGCCGGGCCGGCCCCCCGCGAGGCAGGCCCCCCTGCCCGCGCGCGGCCGGCGCGGAGACCCCGCTCGAAGGCCAAGCTTCGGCCAGGATGGCGGCGGAGGAAAGCCCGCTGGAGAGGAGGAGGAGGAGGAGGAGGAGGAGGAGGAGGAGGAGGGAACTCGCAACGGGGGAAGGCTAAGAATGCTATGGCCTGCATTCGAAACCTTGGCGGGGCGGTCCTGCCTGTCCAGGAAGGCCGACAGGAGGCGCGCCCATGAGCACGGACAGGTCGAGGAGGAGGAGGAGGAGGAGCAGGAGCAGGAGCAGGAGGAGGAGAGCTCCAAAATGGCACGAAGCCCTGGGGGCAGGCAGGGCAAGAGGGACTCGTGCGCGCTTGCAGGGCCATCCGGCACCACGCCACTCCTCCTCCCCCTCCTCTTCCAGCTCATCACTTCCTCCGCCTCATCTTCCCCCTCCTCCTCCTCCTCCTCCTCCTCCTCCTCCTCCTTATCCTCCTCCTCCTCCTCTTCCTCCTCCTCCTCCTGCTTCTCTTCCTCCTGATCATCATCATCATCATCATCATCATCATCATCATCATCATCATCATCATCATCATCATCATCATCATCATCATCATCAACATCATCATCATCAGCAGCAGCAGCATCAAGATCAGCATCATTATCAGCATCATCGTCAGCATCATCATCAGCAGCATCATCAGCATCATCATCAGCATCATCAGCAGCAGCATCGTCATCATCGTCATCATAATCACCATTATCATCATCGTCGTCATCGTCGGCATCATCATCAGCAGCATCAGCACCATCATCAGCATCATCATCATCATCAGCATCATCACGCTCATCATCACCAACATGACCATCACCATCACCATCACCAGCACCATCTTTATCAATAGTATCCTCCTCCTCCCCCTCCTCAAACTCCTCCTCTTCCTCTTCATCTTCCCAAACTTGTCCTCCTCCCTCCTCGTCCTCTCTTCCACATCATCCGCCTCTCTTCCTCCTGAGTATCCTCCTCCTCCGCGTCGTAATCAGCATCTGCATCATCAGACGCAGCATCATCATCGTCGTCATCATCATCAGCGTCAGCACCAGCATCAGCAGCAGCATCATCATCAGCATCATCATCCATCATCAGCATCATCAGTAGCAGCATATCGTCACCATCATCATCAACATCATCAGCATCAGCATCAGCAGCATCAGCATCGCCTCTTCTGGCTCCACCTCCTCCTCATCCTCCTCCTGCGTCGTCATCGTCGCCGTCGTCCTCATCATCATCAGCAGCATCATCATCAGCATCATCATTGTCATCATCAGCATCATCATCATCAGCATCATCATCGTCATCGTCTCCGTCATCGTCATCATCATCGGCATCGGCATCGTCATCATCATCAACACCATTACCATCACCATCACCATCACCATGAGCAGAAGCATCATTATCAGCATCAGCACCAGCATCGTCATCGTCGTCAGTATCGTCATCATCAGCCATATCATCAACATTATTATCATCAGCAGCATGAGCATCACAATCATCATCAGCATCAGCAGCAGCATAATCTTTACTTTATTTCAAATTACATCATCATTCTCACCCTCGTCTCATCATCACCATCATCATCGACATCTTTCCTCCCACTCGCCAGTATCGTCCTCATCCCCTGCTTCGTATGCCATATCTCGTCAAGCTCGCCCGCGCTTGCAAAAGCAAGCGATGGAGGCGCACATCCAGCTCGACCTGTCACCATCATCATCATCATCATCACCATCATCATCAGAATCATCATCAATAACAGCAACAGCATCATCAACATCCTCACCATCATCACCACTATCAGCATCACCGTTGCCCATCCGGCCCCATCCTCTCTTCATCCTCCTCGTCATCACCATCGTCGTCACCATCGCCACCACCATCCGTGGGACCTCCCAGAGCGCACTGTGGCCCGCCGAAAGCACAAAGCCCGCTGCGCTGGAGCTGCACCGAGCGCCTTTTCTGTAAGGATCGGACTGCCGCCGATGCGGGCACCGCGCGACCGCTTCCGGTCGCGGAGCCTGCCTCAAAGGCAGGAGGGACGAGGAGGAGGAGAGACAGACGGGAGGGCGGGGAGGGGGAGAAAGAGGAAAGTCGGGACGGGGAGGGAAAAGAGCGGGGATGCGCTCTGCCCCTCCCTGGACCTGGAGGCCTCCCAGATGGGGCGTCGCGGAATCTCGCCGCATCGCCGATGCATCGTCGATGCACCTGCGATGCACTCCTCCTGGTTCCCCTTCTCCTCTTTTTCCTCATCCTTCCCCATCTCCTCCTCCCCCTTCCCTTTCTTCTCCTCCTCCTCCTTCTCCTCCCCCTCCTGCTCCTCCTCCTTCCATTTCTCCTCCTCCTCCTCCTCCTCCTCCTCCTGCTCCTCCTCCTCCTCCCCCTCCTTCTCCTCCTCCTGCGACCTCGGCGCTGAAGTGGCGACGGCCGCGTGGCGAAGCTCGGGCCCCACCTCGAGCCGCAGCGGCGAGGCATCAGCGGCGGTGCCGCGCCAGTCTCCGGCCCCCGCTGCTCGGGCACCCCCTCTCGGAGGCCCCGCGCCCCGACCCCCATCTCGGGCCCCTCGGCCCTCGCCGCCGTGCCTCTGTCACGACGCCGACCCCCAGTCCTAAGTCGGGCGCGTCCCCCTACAAGGGGATTTTGGAGGACCCCCCCCCCAAAAAAAATACCCCCAAATAGTCAAAAATGGTCAAAGAATCGTCCCCCGGACTATCTTTTTGGCTGTCTTTGAATATTCCTGCTGTGGAGGGACAGGTCCGACTGAACCCCAGTCCCCAGGGCCGCTTCGTCCTGCCGACTCGTTCTTTCTGGCAGCCCCGAGGCCCGCGGTCCAGGGGGCCCCCTGGGGGCCGAACGTCGCGAGCAGAGGCCCGCCGTGGTTGGAGGAAGGACGAACTGCATACATCGGTACTCCAGATTCTTCAATAAGCACTTTTTTTTGATCCGCGGGTCGAGAGCGCACCTCTTCCGTTCGAAGCTAAGCGGGCCGCGCACAGCTTTAATTAACAAAAGGGAAGGGGGGGCAGAAGGAAGGGCCTCACGTCAAGGCCAGGAGGGGGCAAAGCCCCAGAATCAGGCGGTGCCGAAGACGATCCTTCAATAAGCACCCCCCCCCGTGCCAACCTGTCCGACGCCCCTTGCCCGCTCCCCCACGCGCCCCAATCTCACCCCCTCTCGCTCCCCAGCCTCTCCACGCCCCCCGAAGGACAGCGGCTTCCCACCCCCCCACGCGACCCACCCACCCCACGCTTAATGAGAGACCTGGAGTATACAGTCGGCGGCGAGCGGTATAAAATCGGCGGCGAGCGGGGGGGGGAAGTGAGAGAAGGGGCGGGCCTTCTCAGAAGGCCCGGAAGTCCCGGGGCCTCCTGAGAAGATCTCTGAGCCTTCCCCGAAGACGCCAAAAACTTCTCAGAAGGCGCGAGGGCTTCTGAGAAGTCCCGCCGCCTTCTGTAGAAGTAGGGGAAAAACGGCATAAACATAAACTGGTGGCGCTCCGCGCGGATTTCTTGGATCCGCGCTGGACCCCCCCTCCCTGGCGCGCGGAGCTCGCCAGGGGCGGCGCCGGACGCGCCGCCGGGGGGGGGCCCAGCGCGGATTCAAGAAATCCGCGCGGAGCGCCAAAAGTTTATGGTAGTGTCGTTTTTCTTACCCGAGAGAAGGCCTTCTCCTTAACGCCAATCAGCGCTACATCGGCGCTGCCTCATGGATTACTACACGCTGCTCGACAGTAAACGACGCTAAAAACGGAGCTAAGGCGGTATACTATGGGCGGCGAGCGAAGGGGGGAAGTCAGAAGGGGCGGGCTTTCCCAGAAGGCTCGGAAGTCCCTGGGCCTCCTGAGAATATTCCAGAGCCTTCCCCGAAGACACACAAACAAATCCCAGAAGGCGCTAAGGCTTCTGAGAAGTCCCACCGTCTGTAGAATGAGAAAGAAGGCACAAACATAAACTTTTGGCGCTCCGCGCGGATTTGTTAGATATGCGCTAGACCCCCCTCCCTGGCGCGCGGAGCTAGCCAGGGGCGGCGCCGGACGCGCCGCCGGGCGGGGGGGGGGGGGGGTAGGCCAGCGCGGATCCAAGAACTCCGCGCGGAGCGCCGAAAGTTTTTGTTTATGTGGTTTCCTTCTTTGAGAGAAGGCCTTCTCCGTCTCACTTCCCCCCCTCGCTCGCAGCCGTTCCAAAGATCCCAAACTTTGCTGCCGAACTGCCCCTACGCGTGCCCGGCGCGGGCGCGCTCAGCGCGCTCGGCCAGGGCCGCCGCGGCCGCCTCGGCGCGCGCGGCGGCCCTGCGGAGGTCGCCCGCGGAGGTGTCCGTCCACCTCGGCGCGCCGGGCGGGCTCGTGCGCTGCGAGGGAGATCCTGGAGACTCGCCCACCCCCTCCTCCTGCTCCTCC